CATAAATGAAGAAGCCTACAAAAGTGAGCTAAGACTTTACCTTAATCATCCAAACCGTGCTTTCAGTGACTTGCGGCAGGTCTCTTTTCTCTATAAGAAGTAGCATAACCCATTTTCTATACATCATAGGATCCTCGAATGCTTCCACGATGGCTTTTTCACATTCGTTCAGCGCTGGTCGATTTATTTGAGGTCGTTTCGCAAAAACAACGACGTTAATAGACCTAAAATGTATTTGAAGGGTGGACCTAACGAGAAATGTTGTTTGAAGCATACGGTGGCCACTTATAACAGCCGTACTGCTTAGACATGAACACAGTGCTGTTCCACTTTTCCTCCGTATTTGGGAGGTTTGTTGAATCGTAAGCCAAACATACATTATCGGGACGTAGTCCACATTTTAGTGGAACGTCTTCTTTTGCCTAAATGGTAATTCATTCTTTGGAATTACTTTATATGCATGTTAGTGTGACCTTCAGTGGGCAAGTCCAATTCATACGAACAGTTTTTATTTTATTTTTCTTCAACCAGTAACATAGCGCATCAGCACTTTGATCGCGAAAGTACTTCTCTTCATCAGCAAATCTTGATAACAAAACCTGTAAAGGAAAATTAGATATTCAACTGATTTTCTGGTCACCGCAAAAGTGTTGATGAATCACCTTAATAGTTTCTACACCAGACTTCTCCATTTGACAACTCCACAGCATTGTACAACAGAGCTTTATACGTGAATGTGACAAATCCTTTCTTGATAATTGCTCCAAAAGCATATCCACTAATGCTTTCTGCTCTCTGAGACGCCAATTTGTGTTTCTTACTGCACTTTTAACCTTACCTGGTGTTCCTCTCTTTTATATAAAAGGGTATACCGTGAACACTGTCAGTGTACAAACATGTTTAATTTTCAATCATTAGCTCACTTCTTACTATCAATTCTTCTCTGCTCCTGCATTTTCTTCACCAACTCTAATGAGTTTTTACAATTGAACTTTGACCATGCTCCCGTCATCTGGAGTTTTGTGAAAAGACTTTCGCAAAAAGCAGTTAACTTTGCGCACGTCTGAAGAATCAAAGTTGTTAAGACGACGAAATATGATGACCTTAAATTTTACAACAAACATAATGTTTTTGTGGGGGCTTGCGCATCTTTCCAATTTCTTCACTGATTTCTTCATAAATTTCAAGAATACTTGGAAACTCAATTGGCTTAAATTGCATATTTCAAACTTTACTTCAGCTTTTTTCAATTTGTGCTTGCCTTCATTTCTAGTAATGCTCTCCACACTTTTATCCTAGCTGGTATGCTCGAGCTCGTTCCCAGTTTCGATCTCCAAATTATATTCAGCGCACCCTAATGGTTGGAGAAATCCTGCTTTACAAATCCATATTAGCAGTATTCATGAAAATTCACTCTAAGTTTTCCTTTGCTTGTATCTTCACTAAACAATGAAGGTAGAAATGTTTCTATCATAGCTTCTCTCGACACGGTATATTCAGCGAAAACCAGAAATAATTCGGTTTGTGCAGCACCGCGCACCTAAAATCTCTAGTCAGACTGATAATATACTTGATGGTAGGAAACAGAAAACTACCGCTACGTATTCGTTCATGGCCAGTCGAGTCAGGAGCCGAATTGCTCGTAAGTGGAAGTGGGTGAGAAGCGTGGAGACTACGGTAGCATTTTTCTGAAATCCAACTTTGTCTTGGAAAATGATGTGTGACTAGGGACCTAAAAATTTGGAGATGCTACGAAAACCCAAGGAGTGCTTCCTTCTT